TCCTGTTGTTGTTCTTGTTAAGGTTCTCTTGTTCTTGTTAAAAATTACGCGAGGCACACACACGGGGTTTTCGTGAGGGATGCACCTTTATTCTGATTTTTTTTGCAGCCAGGGACGGCTGCGAGCTGTACAGGGGGGGGTGATGTAGAGGTGTAATTGCGCATGGCTACGAATGTTGAGGTGTGATTATGCATGGCCACGGATGGCCAACAAACACAAGGGGCGGGGTTACGGCCGTACACAAGGGTGGCGCTCGCACCGACGTCCGCATGTGTATCCCCCACGGGCCCCCCCTCGGGGGCGAGTCCTATAAAAGGTGATGAGCTCGAGGGCTCGAGGTCGGGACTCAGCTTAAACCAGAGAAGACGGAAGACCAGCTAGTGTAGGCCCCAGAGCTCCCCTGGCTCGCTGTCCTTATAAGGGCCGACCAGGGCAAGCCGGTGGCGTGGCCCCGAGAGTCCAGACGAAGCTGGTCTGGTGACTCAGGGAGCCGGGATCCCAGCTTAACCAAGCTGGGACAGATAGCCTCCCCTAGTCCCGTAGTGGAGGAATTGGTATAGGTTAGAGGGGGTTAGCTGTCGAGAATCCCTGTAGCCAAGTGACCTGTAATAAATGTGTTGGTGTAATAAATAAGTGTGCCTCCGATCCTGTCGTCAAGCCTCCATATATACTTACTACACGTCCAAAACAAGGAATCCAGGACTAGCGGGGTCTGTCTGGCCGGGCGAGATCGCGTGGACATTGTGGTGGTCGTCATTCCCGCCAACGCCCCAAGCAACCAACTCAATTCGGGTGGTCCCGCGAAACAAAACGTGCTTCCGAGTTGCTGCTTCAGCACCGAGTTGCTGCTTCAGCACCGAGTTGCTGCTTCAGCACCGCGGTTGTGCGTCGGAGAGCTCCGGGGGCGATCATCGATCATCCGGCGGCTGTCGAGGGGGCGAGGGGCGTGCCGGGCTTACTAAAAACGCCAGATAATCACATCCTCGTTATTAACAATAGCTTATGTTTGCACAATTTGTATGACGTCATGGTTTTTAGGTTGTTCTATGTTGTTTTGTGTGCAATTGGCATAAACAACAGACACTTAGACAGGAATAAATATCCTGTAAGAAGTGACTATTTACTGTACGGTAACTTACCACTCCAATCTCGAAGACTGCATGACGGGGTGATGTACACGGTGCAGTATTTTTATTGTCAAGTCGTATGTAGTGTATAATGTACCGTATGTAATATGTAACACTGACATCGAGCACACCAACTTGTTGTGTCACGCACGCGATGCCGATAGCCGCACTCGTTACAACGGCCTTTGGATCGATTTTGCCGCTTTTGCCGGAGCGGCCCGCGACCGCCGAATAATGTTGGGAGCCGGATAATCGCGTGCCGGATAGTCGTGGATCAACGGTAAATCCACGTAGATAATTCTGGTACCGTGACGTTTCTCTGGTCATGACATTATGAATATAAATTGTTTAAATATCTACAATGTGCAATTAAAAACAACGTAGATAGCCGCCTCCGGACGGAGACTCAGCTGTCCGGGTTGTTTTGACCATACTTCACCGCGCTGGTCACTGCGGCTGCAAGGGAATCGCAATGCTCTTCAATCCATCCCAGAGGAGAGCGTCACGGGGGGGGGGGGGGGGGCCCCGAGCCGCGTTGCTTCAGAATCAGAATCATTATTCACAGTGCGGGAGGAGGAATCCGATGAGCTATAACGCTCTTCTTCCCCACAGGTGTCCGGGTCGGGGCACAGGGTGGGAAACGCTGCAACACCGGGGGGGGGGGACGTCTCCACCGCGGTGACGAGCCGCCACTGACGCCGAGCTGCTGCTGCTGCCAGGGCGGCCTCTGAAAGAGGCGACTTCGTTGCAGCTCAGTGGTGGGGCCTTAGGGGCCGTCCATAAATGACGTCACGCAATTTTGGACGATTTTTGACCCCCCCCCCCGTCACACGGCGTCACAAAAAGTCAGACCTCCACCCTCAAATATGACGTCACAAAGCTCTGCCCCCGCCCCCCAAACCATATTTCCATTTTGAAAATAAAACATGCTTCAAATCGCTTTAAACTAGTGTCATTGTAGTGCGTATTTAATGTGGCGCTGCACTCTGTTGTAAAAAAAAACATTTATTAAAAAGTCTATTTAATTAAGTAGAACGTGTTGTCTATTTATTTTAAGTTGCGCATTTTGATGTGACGTCCCATTTCTCACCCCCCCCCCCCTCGTCGCACATCGTCACAAATGTCTGACCCCCCCCCCCCCGCAGGTGCGTGACGTCATTTATGGACGGCCCCTTACTTGGTACATTAAAATAAAAAACGGACAGCCGAGCTTTGACCAATTCAAGTCATGAGCACCGCACAAAGGATGGATTCAAGAATCCATCCCCATATCCGTCAACCCATACGGCTTACCCGTATTCTTGTACAGGGAAATACAAAAATTCAGGTCCACACGGCGTTCCTCTTTCTCCCTCGTGATGGGACTTTGTCGGATGAACGTTGACGAGGTCCGAATTGGCCTGTAATAAAGTCGGCACCGATAAGGGATTGACAGGAGCGCATCCCTGGATTGAGAATCCCCGGCGACGTCGCGGCCACGAAGTCCTCGCCGCTTGGCGTCGCCACGCAGCCTCCTCCGCCGCCTCCACACCCTGGCGGCTCGGCCCACGCCACGCGGTGCACTCGGCGTGTTCCGGTCGCATCAGAGGCACCAGGGTTTGGAGCGGGTGGGGCGGTGACAGCAGAAGCAAGTGTCGGCGAGGGACGTTGACAGTCGCGATCTGAAGCTTTCGTGACTGCAGGGATCCACACTCTTTGGTTCTTGCGGTAAAGTCACGTGCAGCAGCCCCTTTTGCCCACGTCAGCAATTGTCTCTTGCTGCTGTTGTCCCACCTGATGACGGACGCTTGTGTTGCGCCCGAAACGTCGAGATTTATTGTATTTTCTACCTACGTGACTTTACCGAAAGAACCAAAGAGTATGGACATTGACAGTTCAATGAAGCGCAGGTGATCACAGCACAGATGCAGAATCGCCCTGAGAACAGACATCTCCACGCACACTTGTGAGTTCAGACGAAATGTTCAACAGCAGTGTGGCTTGGGCACCGAAACCTCCCGCTGAGCCTCCCGCACTCTGCACCGTGCCGGCGGAGTGCCTTCGTTTTGGCTCCACGAGCCCCGAGAGAAGCCCGCAGGAGTGAACCACATGAACCCACAGGAGTGAACCACATGAACCCACAGGAGTGAACCGCATGAACCCATAGGAGTGAACCACATGAACCCGCAGGAGTGAACCGCATGAACCCACAGGAGTGAACCACATGAACCCACAGGAGTGAACCACATGAACCCACAGGAGTGAACCGCATGAACCCACAGGAGTGAACCGCATGAACCCACAGGAGTGAACCGCATGAACCCGGAGGAGTGAACCACATGAACCCGCAGGAGTGAACCACATGAACCCGCAGGAGTGAACCACATGAACCCGCAGGAGTGAACCGCATGAACCCACAGGAGTGAACCGCATGAACCCACAGGAGTGAACCACATGAACCCGCAGGAGTGAACCGCATGAACCCACAGGAGTGAACCGCATGAACCCACAGGAGTGAACCGCATGAACCCACAAGAGTGAACCGCATGAACCCGCAGGAGTGAACCACATGAACCCGCAGGAGTGAACCACATGAACCCGCAGGAGTGAACCGCATGAACCCGCAGGAGTGAACCACATGAACCCGCAGGAGTGAACTGCATGAACCCACAGGAGTGAACCGCATGAACCCACAGGAGTGAACCGCATGAACCCACAGGAGTGAACTGCATGAACCCACAGGAGTGAACCGCATGAACCCACAGGAGTGAACCGCATGAACCCACAGGAGTGAACCACATGAACCCACAGGAGTGAACATGAACCCACAGGAGTGAACATGAACCCACAGGAGTGAACCGCATGAACCCACAGGAGTGAACCGGCAAGAAACCGCAAGAGGCTGCACCATCGAGGAGCACGATTTATTGAAGTCCGCGCCGTGGGGACGGAAACACGGGGACCGGTCAGTGTGGAGCGGCCACCGCCGGGACACCCTCGCGACGCCACAGCCGGGGAAACTAAACGCGGCAACCAACGGGGCGACGTACGCGGCGCGACGAGCGTCCGGTCCAAGACGCGGCCCGCGGCCCCCCCCTGCTCCCGCCTTGCAGGAAGGGGGGGGCTCCGCAGCCACGGCCGCTCGTGGTCCGCTCCGGCCCCGGCAAATCGACGTCGTCCGGACGACCTGCCGGCCCCGGCAAGCGCCCACGCCCGCCGCGGCCCGCTCGGTCCGGCCGCTTCTCTTCCATCGGCTCCGGCCCCCGTCACCGTCCCGACCGCAACGGCCTCCGTCCGCGCCCTCGATCCACCGGCCACCCCGTTCCGGACTCGCCGCCGCTCCTCCATCGGAGCGACGCTTGCTCCGCGCCGCTTCGCTCCACGGCCGCTCGACCGCACGCCAAGCACGGCCGCTCCGGCGCCGACGGCTCTCCACTCCGGCGTCCGGGCCGCTCCCAACCGGGGCTCGCCGGCTCGGCTGTTTCGCCGCCGCCCCGGAGGATGTGGTCGCTTCATTCGCCCTCTCGTTCCTCGCGGGTGCTCACACGCACACACGGGGGCGAGGGGGGTGCCTTGGCAGCCCCCGAATCCTTTCATCGACGTCGGTCTCCGGCCCCCCCGCCCCGCCCTGGTCCGCCACCTCCACCGCACGACGTGGAGTTGCGTGCGGCACTTCCGAGACATTTTGCATCGGGGTGGAAAAGAATCCCCCGAAGGCTTTCGCCCCGCCGCGGTCGCTCGGGCGTCGTCGTCGCCGGCGGAGGAGGTGCAGGTGGCGACGGCGATGCACGAGCGTCGCCACCGCCGCTTCTCCCCCCCCCTTCTCCGCCACGTGGCGGTGACGACATCCGTGGAGCGAGACGCCGCGCGGTGGGTGGGGGGGGGGGTCGGGCGTCAGTCCGAGTCGCTGGAGTCGGACGTGGGGTCACCCCGCGTCACCTTGCTGCGGTGCAGCATGGCGCGCTCGTACGCCACCTGCACCGACTTGCGGATGTTGGATTTGCGTCCCTCCAGCATCTTGGCCTTGTCGATGGCCTGCTCCACGCCCAGGGCCACCAGCTTGGAGCGGGGCAGCCACTGCCTGCGCGCACGCAGTGGGGGGGTGGCACACGAGGGCAGCGTCGCGGCCGACGGCGCACGGAGGGGACGATGAGAAAGGTGGCCCCGTGTCGCGTACGCACGGCAGCATGACCGCCACCATCACTACCACCATCATCATTACCACCATCATTACCACCATCACCACCACCACCACATCATCATTACCACCATGATCAACCACCACCATCACCACCACCACATCATCATTACCACCATGATCAACTACCACTATCATCACCACCACCATCATTACCACCATCATTACCACCACTGTCATTACCACCATCACCATCATTACCATCATCCTCACCACCACCATCATTACCATCACCAACCACCACCATCATCATTACCATCATCATCATCACCACCACCACCATCATCATTACCACCATCATCATTACCTCCACTACCATCACCATCATCACTACCAGCATCTCCACCAACTCCACCAACATCACGACCACCATCAGCATCACCAACAGCATCTCCACCACCAGCAGCAGGGAAAAATATTCCCCTCTATACCCATACAGATTGTTGGGGCGAGGGCTGTTAGCGAGCAGCACATATGAAGGCTGACAGGGCACATGAGGGGGTGGGGGCCAGCACCACGCCCTGCCACCTTTGTCTCCCCAGTGGCGATGTTTACACACCACACCAGGTAGTCATGTGAGGCCGAGTCGACCTCGGGGAGGCCCAGGACCGGTTCAGATAACCGTCACCAGCGCACTAACCGCTACACCACCGCTCCCCACACACTCGCACATGACAGGGCATGACGCGGCAAGATGACACGGTGCAGAAGGCACTGACCGCACAGGAAGGGAACACCGTGGTAGCACACACACACACATTTGAAGTGCAAGCTCAAGACTGCCCGCAGACGGCGCGCTCGTGCGGCAGGATTCACGCCGGCGACTTAAGACGAGACGCCCTGAGAATGCTCCCAACTCGAGGTTCCGCATTCGTCCTTTTGTTATTGTCCCGTCTCCCCCACGGTGCGAGCTGTAAAGCTCCGTCTGCGTTTGGACATCAATAAAGCGGAGTAAATTACGAAAAAAAAAGTGGAATAGACAAAGAGGTGAATGGGTTTGTTGAGGTTGGTGAAAAAGACGATGGGAGGGAATTCCAAATGAGAGCAGTGTGAGGGAAAACAGCAGAAAGGGAATAGAAGTGACCTGCAGTGTGGTGAGTGCATGGGTGAGTGCCTTGGTGAGTGGGTGAGTGGGTGGGTGAATACCTTAGTGGGTGAATCTGTGAGTGGGTGGATGGGTGAGTGCCTTGCCGGGTGGGTGGATCAGTGGGTGGGTGGGTGACTTGGTGGGTGGGTGAGTGGGTGGCTGAGTGGATGGGTGAGTGGGTGGGTGAGTGCCTTGGTGAGTGGGTGAGTGGGTGGGTGAGTGCCTTGGTGAGTGGGTGGGCGAATACCTTAGTGGGTGAATCTGCGAGTGGGTGGATGGGTGAGTGCCTTGCCGGGTGGGTGGATCAATAGGTGGGTGGGTGACTTGGTGGGTGGGTGAGTGGGTGGCTGAGTGGATGGGTGAGTGAGTGGGTGAGTGCCTTGGTGAGTGGGTGGGTGGGTGAATACCTTAGTGGGTGAATCTGTGAGTGGGTGGATGGGTGAGTGCCTTGATGGGTGGGTGGATCAGTGGGTGGGTGGGTGGGTGAGCGACTTTGTGGGTGGGTGAGTGGGTGGGTGAGTAACTTGGTGGGTGGGTGAGTGGGTGGGTGGGCGAGTGATTTGGCGGGTGTGGAAGTGGATAAGCGAGTGGGTGAGTGTGATGATGAGTGCGCACGGTGTGGTGGATGACACAAAATAGCGAGCGTCTGGTGGAGCCCTAAGCTTGGGTGGAAGAATCAATGGGGAAGTTCACAGGAACCGTGACCACGGTAGTAGCGATAGAGGAGCGCTGAGGAGGAGGCGGCTGCCCACCGATGAGTGAGCGAGTGAGTCGGTGAGTGTGGGATCATCAATCAGCTCGTCTGCTTCACTCTGTCGTGTGCGGCAGTGAGGATGGAACTGGGTGCTGCACCCCAGATTTGGCAGCAGCAGCAGCAGCAAGACTCCAACTGAACCTCTTGGCGGGACCCCGGGGTCCCATGAGCCCCCGGCTCTCGCATCAACTGCATTGCGACGTCATTCTATGTCTGTTGAAGGCGAACGAGACGGCGATCTATTCCTCTCGACGAGCTCGACACGACGCGCTAATCAAAGTTTCAAAGTTTTGTTTCTTCTGCGCATTTGTCCTCGCTACTGCGCTTGGACGACACGACAGAATGACAACAGAATGATCCGCGCCAGGCGAGTCGCGGCGTTTTTGTGCGCGGTTTTTGACTTCTGTTTATTTGGGACCCCGGGGTCCTGCCACAAGGTTCAATTGAGGCAGAATGTGTGCTCTGTAGCGCCATTCCACAGTAAGACACGGAGCCTGCTGCTGTACCACGCAGATTGACGGTTCGACCGCGAATAAGAACAACGTCGTCGTCGTCATCGCGAGGTTTGACGGCAGGCGGCGTGGAATTGCCTCGGTCTCACGCCAGGGAACAACCGGGGCGGGAGACTCAACAGGGGTGACGTTCAACTGCCCCGTCGCCCCCCGGCCTGGGGTGGTCTCCCCGTGGCTCCTCGTGCATACCAGGTGTGTGTGTACCAGGTGTGTGTGTACCAGGTGTGTGTGTACCAGGTGTGTGTGTACCAGGTGTGTGTGTACCAGGTGTGTGTGTACCAGGTGTGTGTGTACCAGGTGTGTGTGTCATGTGTGTGTGTACCAGGTGTGTGTGCCATGTGTGTGTGTACCAGGTGTGGTGCCAGGTGTTGTGTGTGCCAGGTGTGTGTGTACCAGGTGCGCTTGTTGTCAAAGAAGAGGACAAGGAAGAGGGGCTCCGTGGCCTCCATGATGCGCGTCTCGCCCAGCTTGAGCACGTCGAGCGGCGGCACGGGGATGGGCACGCCGTTGTGCAGGAAGCCTTCGCGCGGCATCTTGGGGTCGATGATCTACGATGCACGCACACACAGACGCACGCACGGACACACAGACGCACGCACAGACACACACGCACGGACACACAGACGCACGCACAGACACACACACACACAGACACACGCACGCATGCACGAACACACAGACATACGCACGGACACACAGACGCACGAACGCCATCACCCCCCACGTGAGGGAGGTCGCTCCAAACAAACGCGGGAAGCCAACGGCAACGAATTACGGCCGGGGGCGCAGCGTCGCGACAACATCGTGACGCGTTGCGATGCGGGCTCAAGCGTCGTAAACGGCGGTCACAGCTGGCAAACACCGCAGAATGCCGAGTCGTTTAAAATTCGGACAGAGTAAACCCCGCGACAAACGTCCGCCCAAACGCAAACCCATTCACCGAATAAAAAAATCTTGACGGCAAACGTCGCGACAACGACGGTTTCCGGAACGCAGTCAAATGAAATGGAGATGTCAGCAGGAGAAAAGGGATCAACAAAAAAACGATTAACGAGGAACGAATGGAACAAAACGAGTGAGTCGAACAGACCCCCCCCCCCCCGCCACCGGTAAAGCCTTGAAGAGGCTGTTAGGGTAAGCGCTCTTCACGAGCACCGACGAAGACCGGCACAGCATGCACACGCACACGCGCGCACAAGCGCACAAGTACACACGCACACAAGTGGACGCGTACACACAGACACACACATATGCGCGCACGCGGGCCCACGCGGTGCCCCCCCCCACCCGCTCACCAGGGCCGGGTACGAGGGATAGCCACGGCACTTGGCCCACACGAGGTCAAGCGCCTCCAGGGGGGTGTCGTCGTCGTCGTCGTCGTCGTAGTCCCAGCTGGCGCACGGCAGCCCCTTGCCACCTGCGGGGACGGCACGGCAGGAGCCATGCTCGGCACCGCGACACTCAGCGGCGCGTCGTGCGGTGGTGTCGTGCGGTGGCGTCGTGCGACATCGTGTGGCGTGGTGCGGCGTGTTGCGACGCGGTGTGGTGCGGTGTGTTGTGGTGCGGCGCAGGAGTCCCCCCCCCTCCAACCCACTGTTAAGGAGGTAAGGTAAAGGCGCAGCCCTTTTCTCGCTCGCACCATTGCCGGTGGAAGATTCCTCCACCGGAGGGAACTCCAGAGGGCGCTTTCCCGCCCTTCCACGCTGACCGGGCAGACACTTTAGGAGAGGTGGGTTCACCCAACCGTGCCCTGGAGCCCAGCATTGTTATTAGTGCTACAATTATTTGTTGTTGTTACACTTGTTTACCCAGCAAAGCCTCAGGAGGCAATGATTGCTCAACGTTTTCTAAACGTGATACCAGGCACGTGCGTACCAGAAGTTCAACACACTCAATCTGTGGGTGATTTTTCAAATTTGAGCCACGACACTGACCGGCACACCTTGACCTCATCCTCTCCTTCTCCCTCTCCTCCTCCCCCCTCTCTACTCCTCCTCCTGCCCCTCTCCTCCTCCACCTCCTCTTCCCCCTCCTCCTCTCTCCTCCTCCTGCCCCTATGCGCCGCGCGTACCAGAGTCGCCGCCGCCGCCGGCGCCCCCGGCGGTCTCGTTGTCGGAGCCCGAGGTCTCGTCGCTGCTGTCCTCGGTGAAGTTCACCCGAGAGAAGCTGGCCTTGCCTCGGCTCTGCTTGTCTGGGGACGCACTGCAGAAACGCAGAGACAGAGACGCCAACAAGTGGGCGGGCGAGCGGGCGTCACGTTGCTGGGCGCCATGCGGCAAGAGGCTTGAGACGGCGCCAGCGACACCGGTAACCCAAGAGCTGTGGTGCCACGGGGAGAGAGAAGCCCGGGCCACAGGTCAACAACCGCCGTTCAAGTCCCCCGCACGGCGGCACTCCGTTTTATCGACCACCAAACCCGAGAGTTGAACTCGCCACCTTGCGATGGGGCGAGCCGCTCACTCGACTGCGACGCCACCTGGCCGGATGAATGGTCGTCAAACCATTGCCAGATGAAGGCCTCCCCCAACGCCACGTTGCTTAGGCGAGTTGATTTGACCGTATTTCGTCACGTGGGTTGGTAAAAGTGGCAGGGGGGCCAGGAGTGACCGTTTCGGACGTTACCCCCGGCAAGGATTCGAACTCGGGCCAGCCGGCTTCGCGGTGCAGCGCGCTAACCACTCCGCCGCCACTCCGCGACGGTCGCGCGCGCCGCACGTGCCTCGTGTTGTCGGTGGCGGCGCTGCTGGAGGAGCTGGTGGTGGACTCCGAGTCGGAGCTGCTCTGCTTGTGCCGGTAGACCAGGAAGCTTTGCGTGTTGGCGTCCTGGGCAATGCACTCGAAGCCCTCGTCTGCGCCTAGACGCATGGACGGCACGGGCGTGGAGGAGTGCAAAGGAGTACGGCTCTGTTGTGAACGCAGCGTCGCCAGTGGTGATGGAGGTGAAGAGAGCGGTGCATGTGTGTGTGTGACGGAGGTGGGTGTGTGCGTGTGTAACGACGGTACGCGCGTGATGCCGGCGCGCGTGTGACGACAGCGTGCGTGTGCGTGCGTGACGACGGTGTGTGTGCGGGTGTGATTGTGGCTGGCGAGGGCGGTACCGGCGTGCGAGAGTCGGCATGACGACCCGTCGCTGTCGCTCTCCGAGCTGGAGCTGCTGCGAGGGCGCTTCCGAGGGCCCGGTGCGGAGCCCGGGGGCGCGGAGGCCGCGGCCGCGGCGCCGGCGGGGACGCACCCCGGCCCTCCCGAGCCGCCCACGGACGAGGTGGACGACGAGGACGAGGCCTGGCCCGGCCCGGGGCCCGCCGGCGGCCCCGCCGCTCCGCCGGACTCACGGTGCTTGGGGGGACGTCCAGGCCTGCGCCACGGGGTCAAGCGGGAATCAACGCGGCGTCGTCGACGGCTCACCGGTGAACATTCGTACGGTCGAGGCATTGCGTGCGCGTGCACTTTACGCAAATTACATCGGCGATAGCGTGGCTAAATCTACTCGTTTGAATCAGTCGGGCGGCATTGTCTTTTCATCGGCTGCGTAACGCTGTGTGGAAGCTACCTGGTATGTCGCTCTGCATGAAGCTTCGGGTCTTCTCGGCCAGTCATGCCCTCCCTTCTCTACGCTTGTGAAAGGTGGACCCCTTTAATGGAACATCTGCACCGGTTATAAACCTTCACGCTGGCTTGCCTACGATCCATCCTGGGTTTAACCAGACCGGATTGTGTGAGGCGCTCACAAATTCTTGAAAGATCCGGACACATTCCCATCAGTGAGCTCCTCTGGCAGGCAAGGCTGCGTTGGCTGGGTCATGTAGCCCGCATGCCCAGCCATAGCATGCCCAAGCAGCTTGTTTGTCCGCATGGAGGGGGCTAAACGGCCACAATATGGGCTGGAGAAGAGATGGTCTGATGCAGTACGGGGGGATGTGGAGCTGAGTCGACTTCCCGATGACTGGCGGTGTCAAGATCGGCCTCAGTGGAGGAAGCTCGTGAAGGACGCTACTGGGCAGTTGGAGGCAGTCGCCCTCCAATAACAACGGAGGGTGGAGGAGCGACACTCACAACAACGAGCGGAGCGCCGGGTGGCTAAAGCACAGCAAGTTGGCACAGTAGGGGGCACAGGTGGTGCATCAGCCAGTCATCTCAGTCAGTCGACCCGTGGAACCTGAGTCTGCCCCGTGACCTCCTGCCAGCAGACATTCGACACTTCACGTGGCCTCAAGGTGCACATGGCCTGGCACAAGCGTCGTGGTGACGTCACCTCCACTTAGTGGCGAATGGCGGTTGTTGTTGTTGTTGTGTGTGCATGGGGAGCGGTAGTGTAGCGGTTAGCGCGCTGCGCTAAGATACCAGTGACCCGGGTTCGATTCCCGCTGAAGGCAAACACCAGTGACGATTATCTGAGCCAGTCCTGGGCCTCCCCTAGGTCGACTCAGCCTCAAATTAGTACCTGGTGCGATGTGTGAACATTGTCACTTGGGAGACAAAGGCGGTCGGGCGTGGTGTTGGCTACCCACCCCCTCGTGTGCCGTGCCGGCCTTCATAGGTGCTCGCTAACAGCACTTTCCCCTACAGTCTATTAAGGCTACACGTGTGTGTGTGTGTGCGCGCGCTTGCGCTCAAAGACCCACTCCCACCCCCCATAGCCTAAACAGACTCTTGGGGCTTGTGCTGTGGCCAGATCCAAGGCTGGCCGCCTTCGGGCAAATTCTAAATGTTGTGGTTTCCTCTCCAACTCACCGGTGTGCTGAACGAGTAACGAATTGCCACGCTTTGTGTACGTGACAAACCCATTACAAATTGGCCGTGTCAGGTGGCGGTGGATTTAATGACACATTTATATTTAGGCGATTTAACCCAAAACAAACCTCTATGATGGATAACACTGGTCACGAAAGCCCCGCCGGCTCTGTGTTAAACAGACTCAGAGTCCCTAATGGACCGAGGAAGGGAGATTCCACACGGTGGGGTCTTTTCGTCTCTGCCGCTCGCGACCATCTGACCGGCGCTGCTGCTGCTGCTGCTGGTGCTGCAGGGGGAAGGGCTTGCTCTTCTTGCTGAAGAGCACGAAGGTTCGGCGTCCCACGTCGGACGCGCGGCCTCCGCCACCTCCGCCTCCTCCTCCGCCGCCGGCGCCGCCGCCGCAGCCGCCGCCTCCGCAGCCGCCGCCTCCCGGCGACGGCGGCCCCCCCCCGAGGGACGCCGGCCCCAGCAGGGAGCCCCCCCCGTCGTCGTCCCCTAGCAGCAGCCCCCGCGAGGCTCCGCCCACGCGCTCGCCCCCGTCGCCTGCGGGAGGGGGGGGGGGACGCAACGACGACGGCCGCCACCGCCGTTAAGTTACGACGACGACGTCACTGCGCCGCTTGCGCCAGGCTAGGTGCGCTTCCAGGGGACCCGGAGGCACACACGGGGGCACGTGGAGACACGCGCAGACACGCGCAGGCCGCGTGCGCACGCACGTGCAGGGGCATAACCATTCCTGAGCGCGCAAAGACACAGGCATGTACAGATGCACAAACGCTGAACACACACACATCTACCGGTGCACACAGGTGAACAAATATACAATAAGTAATATTTAAAAATACTTTTTTAAAAACACGCTTTATTGAAATGGCCCCGAGGCTTGCCATAACGTAGGGGAAAGTGGTGATTCACAGCCATCGTCAGTTGAGCATGGACAATTAGACCCAAGGCAAAGCATCTATATATATAAAATCGTGCATGTCTGTCTGTGTGTGTGGATTTCGGACCATACGCACTTTCATTGGACGGCGGTTGCCCGTGGCAACGGCTAGCGACGCCTTCGCCGCTTTCATTGGACCTGGCAACGGCTAGCGACGCCTTCGCCAAGGGCTGCAGTTTCATTGGACGGCAGTTGCCCCTGCCAACGGCTAGCCACGCCTTCGCCACTTTCATAGGCTCCGTAAATAATTAAATAATAGCCATTACACAGTATTGTTGGAGCGCTGAGGGGGGGGGGGGGGGAAGGCACGCCACCCGTACCCTGCCTTTGCCGGCTGGACAATTTTGGCGAGGCCGCAGGCTCTGCACGCTACTAGGCCTCGACACCCACCACGCCACTCTGAGGTAAATTCATCAAAGTTTTTCGTACTATTCACTCCACCCCCACCACAATGTGTGCAATTTATATTACTTTTAAACCGAACGCGCCAACAATCGATTACTTAAATGTTCACTGTACAAATAGTCATTAAGCTGGGTCAGCGTACTGCCAGTCTATCATGTAGACTGTAGCCTGCTTATTAAACTCGGTGAGCGTACTGCCACTCTATCATGTACACTCTAGCCTGCTTATGAAGCTGAGTGCGTGTACTGCCAGTCTATAATGTGGACTGTAGCCTGGTTATTATAATCGATTCTTTATATGTTCTTTGTACAAATAGTCATTAAGCTGGTTGAGCGACCCCAGTTCCATTCCAACTCACGCCCACCACCGCTGACGATTATTTGAAACGGACCTGGGCCTCCCCTAGGTCGACTCAGCCTCAAACGCGTAACTGCTGTCGTGTGTGAACATCGTCACTGGGGAGACAAAGGCGGCCGGCCATCGTGGATCCAAGTCCCGGGCGAAGCCGGGTCATGTGTATGTGTGTATGTGTTTATGTGTATGTCTGTGTGTCTCTATGTATGTGTGTATGTATGTGTGTGTGTATGTGTTTGTGTGTATGTATGTCGGTTTTTTTGTATGTCTTTATGTGTGTGTCTGCGTGTCTGTATGTATGTGTGTATGTACATGTGTGCATGTGTTTGTGTGCATGTATGTGTGTGTGTATGTATGTGTGTGTATGTGTTTCTGTGTATGTATGCGTGTGTACGTATGTGTGTTATGTGTGTGTCCGTGTGTCTGCATGTATGTGTGTGTGTATTGTGTATGTGTTTGTGTGTATGTATGTGTGTGTTTGTGTGTATGTGTTTGTCTCTGTGTATGTATGTGTGTATGTATGTGTGTGTATGTGTTTGTGTGTATGTCTGTGTGTGTATGTATGTGGGTTTTTTTATGTGTTTATGTCTATGTCTGTGTGTCTGTATGTATGTGTGTATGTACGTGTGTGTATGTGTTTGTGTGTATGTATGTGTGTGTATGTATGTGTGTATGTATGTGTGTGTATGTATGTGTGTTATGTGTGTCTCTGTGTGTCTGCATGTATGTCTGTGTGTATTGTGTATGTGTTTGTGTGTATGTATGTGTGTGTTTGTGTGTATGTGTATGTCTGTGTGTATGTATGTGTGTGTATGTGTGTGTATGTGTTTGTGTGTATGTGTGTGTATGTATGTGTGTGTATGTGTTTGTATGTGTTTGTGTGTTTACGCTCGCATTACACAAATGTCTTGCAGGTCTAAGGCGTTCCTCGCGCAGCATTGCCGCTTTATTATTGCAGTCGTTTACTGCCGTGCGCACACCCTGAAAGTCGTGTGTGTCTGCAGCAAGCGCGTGTATGTGTACCTATGGACGCGCGCGCGTGTGTTGTGTAGGGGGAACGGTAGTGTAGTGCTTAGCGTGCTGTCTGTGTCTGTGTGTGTGTGTCTGTGTGTGTGTCTGTGTGTGTGTCTGTGTGTGGTGTGTGGGGAGCGGTAGTGTAGTGCTTAGCGTGCTGTCTGTGTGTCTGTGTGTGTGTGTGTCTGTCTGTGTCTGTCTGTGTGTGTCTGCGTGTGTCTGTGTGTGTGTCTGTGTGTGTGTCTGTGCGTGTGTGGTGTGTGAGGAGCGGTGGGTGTAGTGCTTAACGCTACGCTGCGCTACCAACCCGGCGAACCGAGTTCGATTCCCGCTCACGGCCACCACCGGTGACGATTATTTGAACCTCCCCTAGGTCGACTCAGCCTCAAACGAGTAACTGGTGTGGCGTATTAACATCGGCACTGGGGAGACAAAGGCGGCCGGGCGTGGTGGATCCAAGTCCCGGGCGAAGCCGGGTCATGTGTATGTGTGTATATGTTTGTGTATGTCTGTGTGTCTGTATGCATGTGTGTATGTATGTGTGTGTATGTGTTTGTGTGTATGTGTGTGTGTATGTATGTGGGTTTTTTTTTATGTGTTTATGTGTATGTCTGCGTGTCTGTATGTATGTGTGTATGTACGTCTGTGGATGTGTTTATGTGTATGTATGTGTGTGTATGTATGTGTGTTATGTGTCTGTCTGTGTGTCTGCATGTATGTGTGTGTGTATTGTCTATGTTTTTGTGTGTATGTATGTGTGTGTTTGTGTGTATGTGTATGTCTGTGTGTATGTATGTGTGTGTATGTGTGTGTATGTGTTTGTGTGTATGTGTGTGTATGTATGTGTGTGTATGTGTTTGTATGTGTTTGTGTGTTTACGCTCGGATTACACAAATGTGTTGCAGGTCTAAGGCGTTCCTCGCGCAGCATTGCCGCTTTCTTTTTTCAGTCGTTTACTGCCGTACGCACCCTGACAGTCGTGTGTGTCTGCAGCAAGCGCGTGTATGTGTACCTATGGACGCGCGCGCGTGTGTTGTGTAGGGGGAACGGTAGTGTAGTGCTTAGCGTGCTGTCTGTGTCTGTGTGTGTGTGTCTGTGTGTGTGTGTCTGTGTGTGTGTGTCTGTGTGTGTGTCTGTGTGTGTGTCTGTGTGTGTGCGTGTGTGGTGTGTGGGGAGCGGTAGTGTAGTGGTTAGCGTGCTGTCTGTGTGTCTGTGTGTGTGTGTCTGTCTGTGTGTGTCTGCGTGTGTCTGTGTGTGTGTCTGTGTGTGTGTCTGTGCGTGTGTGGTGTGTGAGGAGCGGTGGGTGTAGTGGTTAACGCTACGCTGCGCTACAAACCCGGCGAACCGAGTTCCATTCCCGCTCACGGCCACCACCGGTGACGATTATTTGAACCTCCCCTAGGTCGACTCAGCCTCAAACGAGTAACTGGTGTGGCGTATTAACATCGCCACTGGGGAGACAAAGGCGGCCGTGCGTGAGTGGTGAGGGAGGGAGAGTGGTGAGGGAGGGAGAGTGGTGAGGGAGGGACAGTGGTGAGGGAGGGACTCAGCCGCAAAACGAGTAACTGGTGTGGCGTATTAACATCGCCACTGGGGAGACAAAGGCGGCCGGCCGTGGTGGATACAAGTCCCGGGCGAAGCCGGGTAGTACAGCTAGTAACATATAAAAAAGATGGTTTAAAATTTTTATGACATAAGTATACCAAGTTTGCAGTCGACACGACATTGGGAAGTGGGTTAAAATTGAGTTACAAAGATTTGAGGATACGACAACAACAACAGAGTGAGTTAATAGAAAGCGTGTAAAAAGACAAAGATCCCCCGCCTTAACAGCACTATGCCCAGCCACCTTTCCCCAGTGGCGATGTTTACACACCGCACCAGGTACTCATTTGAGGCTGACTCGACCTAGGGGAGGCCCAGGAACGGGACCAGTTCAGATAATTATCACTGGTGTTGTCCGTGAGCATGAATCAAATCCTGGTCGCCAGGTTCGTAGTGCAGCTCGCTAACTGTTACACGCGTATACACATGTACATGCACGCGCAAGCACACACATGCTTTCGGGGACCACTCACCAACGAGTCGCACACACGCAAAACCAACACGCGCAAACATGCTAGGAGAAAGACGAGCGCACCTACGTCCTCCCGGGTGTGACGGGGCTCGGTGCGGTGCGCTGTGGTGCGATGCGCTGCGCTGCGGGAGCCACTCACCCACGGAGGCTGCAGCTGCTGTCCTCCCGGGTGTGACGGGGCTTGGTGCTGTGGTGCGGTGCGGGAGCCACTCACCCACGGAGGCTGCAGCTGCTGCTGCCGCGGACCCGGCGTCGCCGTCAGCGAGCCGCCTCTTGCCGCCGTGGCGTCCGGCGCGACCCCGACCCCTCCCGCGACCCCCACCCCCGGCGCGACCCCGTTCCCCCCCGTGACCCCGCTCCCCGCCGTGACCCCGCAGCCCCTGGCCCCGAGGCCCCGGCGCCGCTGCTCGACCCTTGCCCCCGCTGCCTGCACAAGACCAGCGCGAGTCAAGCGGCGTGGGGAGCGGCGGACTCGCTCGCGGCGGATTCGCGGCAGACTCGCGCGCGGTGTCCCGAAAAGAGGCGCGCGTGGGGATGCGCACGCCGACAACGCGGACGGCGCTCCGCACGCTGCGCCCACGCACCCACCTCTCTCCGGCCCCTCCACGCCGACGCCGCCGCCGCCCTCGTCTTCGGAGGACGAAGACGACGGCGAAGAGGTGGACGACGAGGAGGAGGATGAGGAGGAGGAAGAGGAGGAGGCCGAGCGGGCCGAGCCCCGGCGAGTCCCCCCCGGGAGGGTCGTGGGGGGAGGGGCGCCGCCCCCGCACCGGGGAACCCGCGGCCCTCCGCCCGTCCCGGGCGCCGCTTCGACGCGGCGCCGCCGGCGGCGCCGTGGCGCTCGCTCTGCGGCGGGCCCCCCCGGTGGAGGGAGCGGTCACCGCGGCCGGCCTTGCTCCCCCGCCTCGACGCCACGAGGTCTGTGCCGGGATGGGGGTTGGGGGGTGGAGGGTGGGGGGAGAAACGCTGGTGAGATCAACCACAACGTCACCTCGCTGATGATTTCGTCGAGGAGCGTGCAAAATCATCATGCAGACTCCAGTGGTTATCCTCGCAGCAGCAGCTTTTGGCCAGCCTGAAATCGCGCGGCGCTTTCAGATGCGCTTCTGTGGCCGTCGGCAACACATCCGATGTTAGGAAGCCACTGGGAGCTATGATGCTCCCAGTGGCTTAAACGAAGTTCTTTAGAATTGCTGGTTGTTGTTGTTGTTGTGTTGAGTTTGTTGTCCTTCCCCCCCAGCTCCTCCGACTAGCACGGTTGGCTACGCACAGCACGAAACAAGTTCAACGTACACACGTACGTGAGAGCAGTGACGCTCGGTTCACCGGCTCCGAGAAACTCGCAGTTTCCCCGTCCCTTTGAGCCGCAGCAGCCCCGTGTACAATGCGTGTGTGCGTGCAATGTGTGGGGAGCGGTAGCGTAGCGGTTAGTGTGCTGTGCTACAAACGCGGCTACCCGAGTTCGATTCCCGCTCAGGGCCACCAACACTGGAGACGATTATCTGAACGGGTCCTGGACCTCAACGAATTCGGTGCTACTCGCTAACAGCACTCGCCCCGACAGTATGTTAAGGCTGTACGGGGAATCTTTGTCTTCGTGTGTGTGTGTAAGCACAATTTCTGAGTAGGTGCGCATGTTTCTGTGCATGTGTGTTTCTGTGCGCTTCTGCGCGCACGCGTTTCTGCGCGTGTGTGTCTGTGTGTCTGTGCGTGTGTGTCTGTGTGTCTGTGTGTCTGTGCGTGTGTGTCTGTGTGTCTGTGCGTGTGTGTCTGTGTGTCTGTGTGTGTGTCTGTGTGTGTGTGTGTTGTGTGTGTGTCTGTGTGTGTCTGTGTGTGTGTGTCTGTGTGTGTGTCTGTGTGTCTGTGTGTGTGTGTGTGTGTGTGTGTGTGTGTGTCTGTGTGTGTGTCTGTGTGTGTGTGTCTGTGTGTGTGTCTGTGCGTGTGTGTCTGTGCGTGTGTGTCTGTGCGTGTGTGTCTGTGCGTCTGTGTCTGTGCGTGTGTGTCTGTGCGTGTGTGTCTGTGCGTGTGTGTCTGTGCGTGTGTGTCTGTGCGTGTGTGTCTGTGCGTGTGTGTCTGTGCGTGTGTGTCTGTGCGTGTGTGTCTGTGCGTGTGTGTCTGTGGTGTGTCTGTGGTGTGTGTCTGTGCGTGTGTGTCTGTGCGTGTGTGTGTGTGTGTTGTCTGTGCGTGTGTGTCTGTGGGTGTGTCTGTGCGTGTGTGTCTGTGCGTGGGTGTCTGTGCGTGGGTGTCTGTGCGTGGGTGTCTGTGCGTGGGTGTCTGTGCGTGGGTGTCTGTGCGGTGTGTGTCTGTGCGGGTGTGTCTGTGCGTGGGTGTCTGTGCGTGGGTGTCTGTGCGTGGGTGTCTGTGCGTGGGTGTCTGTGCGTGGTGGTGGTCTGTGCGTGTGTGTCTGTGCGTGTGTGTCTGTGCGTGTGTGTCTGTGGCGTGTGTGTCTGTGCGTGTGTGTCTGTGTGTGTGTGTCTGTGCGTGTGTGTCGTGTGTGTGTCTGTGTGTGTGTCTGTGCTGTGTGTCTGTGCGTGTGTGTCTGTGCGTGTGTGTCTGTGCGTGTGTGGTCTGTGTGTGTGTGTCTGTGCGGTGTGGGTCTGTGCGTGTGGTGTCTGTGCGTGTGTGTCTGTGCGGGTGTGTCTGTGCGTGTGTGTCTGGTGTGTGTGTGTCTGTGTGTGTGTGTCTGTGCGTGTGTGTTTGTTGTGTGGTGTCTGTGTGTGTGTGTCCTGTTGCGTGTGTGTCTGTGTGTGTGTGTTCTGTGCGTGTGTGTCTGTGCGTGTGTGTCTGTGCGTGTGTGTCTGTGCCCCGTGTGCCCCCACCGTGGGCGGACGGAGCGGCTGGCGCCGTGGGGAGGTGCATTCCGCTCTCGTAGTTGAAGCCGATCCGCTCCGCTGCCGCTCGCGCTTGCCGCAAGATCACGGCGCCCTGGTCCCTGAGCCGCACGGCCCGCGCGGTAAAAAATCGTGTCCTGGGCACACAAAAAACAAAGATCCCCCGTGTAGCCTTAACAGACTGTTGGGGCAAGTGCTGCTAGCGAGTAGCACCTTTGAAGACCGGCACGGCACACGATGTTGACACCGCACCAGGTACTCATTTGAGGCCGAGGCATCCTATCGGGTCCCGGGTTGGTAGTGTGGCGCGCTGACCGCTACTCTCCACACACACACACCCCGCACCCACACAACAACAACCGCCATTCGCTACTAAGTGGCGGTGACGTCACCACGCCGCTTGTGCCTGGCTATGTGCACGTTGGGGCCACGTGAAGTGTCGAACGTCCGTTGGCAGGTGGTCACGGGGCAGACCCAGGTGCCACGGGTCGACTGTCTGAGATGAATACTGTGCCAACTTGCTGTGCTTTAGCCACCCGGCACTCCGCTTGTTGTTGTGAGCGTCGCTCCTCCACTCTCCGTTGTTGTTGGAGGGCGACTGCCTCCAACTGCCCAGTAGCGTCCTTCACGAGCCTCCTCCACAGTGACCGATCTTGACAACGCTGGTACCAGTCATCGGCAAGTCCACTCAGCTCCACATCCTCATGTACCACATCACTCCATCTGTTTTCTAGCCCCTGCCGCGCCCATTTAGCCTCCTCAATCCGGCCGAACAAAAGCTATTAAGGCATGCGGTGACTGGGCATGCGGGCTATATGACCCAGCCAACGCAACCTTGCCTGCCCGGGGGAGCTCACCGATGGGACTTTATCCAGATCTTTTAAGGATTTGTGAACTCCTTACACCCACACACACACACTCACACACACACCCCGGCACTCAACATTGACACCGGCGCTCTCTGCGGCAGTGACACCTCTGCGGGTCGCCGCCAGCTCTTTGGGGCCGCACGCACCTTGGCGTTGTACTGCATGCAGTTGTTGACGATGAGTTGGAAGTCGCCGGCGAAGGTGTCCATGCCGCGGTACTCGTGCGAGTCCACGCGCTGCCGCATCGTGGAGAAGTCCATGGGGGTTTTGATGTGATCCAGGTAGTCCGACACCTACGCAGGGCAGAGACAAAGGTCCTCAGCCCCCCCGTGTAGCCCGTTACAGACTGTCGGGGGCAAGTGCTGCTCGTGAGAATCCGTGAAGGCCGGCACAGCACACAAAAGGGGGGGGGGGGGTGGCCAGCACCACCCCCGGCCGCCTCAAGTCTCACCAATGCTTACACGCTACGCTGGGTAGACCTCGGGGAGGCCCAGGACTGTTTAAGATAACAGCCACCGATGTTAGCCATTACGCCGGAATCGAACTCAGGTCGTCGGATTCGCAGCGCAGTGCGCCAATCACTATACTACCTGTTCTATCCACTGCTGGATGAAGGCCTCAAACGAGTCGTTGCCATCATGCGGGGAACAGTGCTGCTGACCCAACATCTCACTCCAGTACATGAACTGACATCGTCGCTCCAACTTCACGGTGGTTGCTGTGCTAGGATGCGTTCTCCCCTGTCGGTCATCGTCCCGGATGGTACGCAAGTTGAACTTCATTCGCACCGTATGTAGCCTACGGGTCTCTGTGTGAGTCTATGGGTCTCTGTGTGGGTCTCTGTGTGAGTCTATTGGTCTCTGTGTGAGTCTACCGGTCTCCGTGTGAGTCTATGTATGTTAAACTTCTTTCGAATGTACATAGCCAACTGCGCTAATTGTAGGTGCGGAGCTAAATGGGGGGGGGGGGGGGGAGGACAACAAACTAAATTACAACACCAACAAACAGTTAAAGCACATCATAGCTCCCAGTGGCTTCAGAATATCGGAAGGAAGAGCGGCGTTCCAGACGGCCTCTACGCGGCGTGCCGCACAGCGCATCAGAAAGCGCCGCGCAACGCCGTGCTCCTGCCAAAGCCACAGTCGCTTCTCGTCGAGTCGATGCGACGACGGCGGCCCCCACCACTCCCCGCTCACCTCCTCGAGGCACACGGGCTCCGAGAAGATGCTGCCCGTGTCTCGCTCCTGCAGCAGCTCCAGAGTCCGGCGTAGGAAGATGACGAACGGGATCAGCCGCGCCTCCATCACGGCCTCTTGCGCTCGGATCTGCGCAGCGCGAAACACGCGGACGGGCGTCACGCCGGCATCACCGCACACGACCACGCGTCACCACAGGGGACACACACGACCACGCGTCACTATACGGACACACACACGACCACTCGTCACCGTACCTACACACTCACGACACGTGTCACCACAGGGGACACCACACACGACCACGGCGTCACCGCACGGACACACATTATCAAATCTTACGACACGTTACCCATTAATGATTACGTATTATTACCCATGAACACATATCAACACAGCAGACACGGTTGAACATTAAAAAAACACTACTGCGTGCTACCACACACAAAGGCAAAGATCTCCTGTGTAGTCTTAACCGACTTGTTGGGGAAAGTGCTGCCACAGCACCAAGCGGAGGGTGGGTAGCCAACCACCACGTACGGCCGCCTCTGTTCCTCCGCGGTAGCAATGCTGACACATTGCATCTTATACTCATGTGAGGCCGAGTCGACCGAGGGGAAGGTCCAGGACAGGTTCACAGAATCATGTAGTTTTCCATGAGCGGGAATACAACTCAAGGTCGTCAGATCCATTAACCATACACGGCCCGGAGCACGGGGATTGGCGGCTGAGTGTGCGGTGTCTACACAAGGCTCACGCGCAACTCGGCGCGTCGCCGTGCCGACGTGCGCTCGCGTCGCCGTGCGCTCGCGTCGCCGTGCCGACGTGCGCTCGCGTCGCCCGTGCCGACGTGCGCCTCGCGTCGCCGTGCCGACGGTCACCACCTGTTCGCGCTTGAGCTTCTCGCGCTTGCGGATGAGCTCGACGAGCAGGCGCGCCCGCTCCAGGTCGTGGCGCAGGCGCTGCCACGACCTTGAGCTGCCCTTCAGCGCGTGCCTCTTCTCTCCCAGGTGCTCGCGCTGGGGTCACGCCGGGCCGGGGGGCGACAGGGGGGGGGGGGAGGGGAGCGTGAGGAGGCCGAGCCGCTCCGTGAGATTTGGTGAGTCGCGGCCGGAGGTGTGTTTTGTCATTTTTCCTCGGGCGTCATCCCAATTGCGGTATCGGTGTCGCGTCGTCGCGAGAGACGCGGCAACATGCGTGACCACACGGGGACACACACCGTGCTAGAGCTGGCCTAATCAATGACGATATTCACACGCAGGTTTCTTTCTCCCGTGTCAGAAAACGGCCCGCGGAAACAGCTATCGCAGAGCTCCCTCCGACCCTCGTGGTTTGCAGATTACACGTTCGTCACATAACAGTCAAAACCTATATTGAATTCTCAAAGCCGGAATTTTTGCCAAATAAGTGCAGAAATGATTATTCTACGTGATGCTTTTGAGCGCAGTCGCTGGTGACCAGGCCGAGAACAGCGACTCACTGCACAAGAGAACCCGGTGGGGTTTCATCGCAACCCGGGTTTGAACCCATGACCTCAGCGGTCCCCGCACAACACCATGAATTCTGAGCCAACCCAGCAGCCCTTGCAGCCACAAGGCATCGACTCATTCATCAATTCAACAAAATAAAATGTTGAAGTATCCTGATAAGTAAATTGAGCTGTGCGACACGTGATAATTTTACAATTTCTACAACTTACGTGGAACTTTTATTTACGTTCTAATCCCCCCCAAAAAAACCTCTATTATGTTCCAATCCTAATCGGGCGAACGTGGGGTTGATACCAAGAAGATATGTTTTTATTTGTCAGGCTTGACGGACTCTACGGCAATCCATTGCTCTACCCGCGCAGAGAAATAAAACCAAGACGTGGCGGATGGCAGGTTCAGACCAAACTAAATCTCTACAAACAAAATAAAATAAAAACTACGGCAAAAAAAAATAAGTTACAATTTTCAAAGCGCAACGGATGACCGCGGATTGCGACAGTTCGCCAAAACGTCTGTGTTAGATGCTCAGCGAATGTTCACTGTGAATCTTGACGGGCAGCCGCCGTTACCTGCTCCATGGATCGCTGCGACTGCAGGTGGGACCTGCAGCCTCCGCAGAAGGGGCACCCGTTGCGGGACTGCCGCTTGAGCGTCCAGTAGCTGTGCATGCGCTGCATGAACTGGCTCTTGCGCTGCATGGACACGCGGCTAATGATCTTGCTCAGCCTGCGGGTCAGCGAGGTAGGGGGGAGGGCGGTAAACGAAGGCACGGCAACGCACGGCATCAGGGCACCGGCAAAACTGCCCCGCTGATAAGCGGGGTTTCTAAGTGCCATGCATCAGAGCTCCGGGTTCCAACTCACACCTCCATTTCTCCAGATTCCAACCCATACTAAAAGTTGGGCTAATCAATTACTGTCTTAAGACGCAAGATTTTGTTTTTGCATCCCAATTAATGAGGTATCATTTACTCTACCGATTACCAGCTCATTACTCAATGAATACAATAACTAAAACAAATGTATATATATGTTACTCTTTGGCTCTTTCGGTAAAGTCACGTAGGTAGAAAAATAATAGATCACGACATTTCGATCGCAACACAAGCAATCGTCATCAGATGGGACAACCACAGCAAGAAAAACTGATTCCTGCAGTCAAGAAAACCTTCAAATCAAGATTGTAGATATGCTGTTCTTCCTTGTGTTTCCCACGTGTGTGTCGCTGCCCGGGAGGTGATGGCGAGGGCTTGGGGGTGTAAATTGGCGGCGTCACGCTGGGCACGCCTCCTCTCGCCAGGGGGTGGGGCTTCTTACCTTCCAGAGGCCGGCATTTTTGGGGGCATCCGCCATTGTTTTTAAATCGGGCCTCAGAATGAGAATGGTTTATTTTATCTGAGTAAAACCCACCCCCTGAGCTATTCAGCTCCTTTTTCAATGGTGACTCGGCCAGCCCCGAACTATCGCGCAATAAGGATCGGCGATGAGAGCGGACTTCATCGATTGATCCATATGTACAGGGCCTAACCCACGCCTCCAGCCTCCAGGGCTTATCGCTGGCTCCTAAAATGCCCCCCCGCCCGCCTCCCCGCCAGCCCCCACCCCCGTCATCGCACATCTGTCCGAGACGGCCGTGTAACACCGCGCACCTGTGGGGAGGAATGCACGGCACGGACACGATGGGCACAGCGGCGCGCCGCTCCGCCAGGATCTTCCGCGCCTTCTTCATCTTCTGCTTCGACTTGGCCTTGGCTTTCTTGGCCGACCAGCCCGGGGTGCAGCCTCCAGCCGCGCCGCCCTCCCCGTCCTCGCCGTCACTCTCGCTGCCTGTCAGCAGCAGCGGCCTACGAGACGCGGGGAATGAACGGCGATGCAGAGGCATCCGTGAAGCGCGGCGGGAATGTGACGGGAGCGTGACGGGAGCGTGACGGGAGCAGGACAGGAGCATGACGGGAGCGTGACGGAATCGTGACGGGAGCGTGGTGGGAGCGTGACGGGAGCGTGGTGGGAGCTGACGGGAGCGTGATGGGAGCGTGACGGGAGCGTGATGGGAGCGTGACGGGAGCGTGATGGGAGCGTGGTGGGAGCGTGACGGGAGCGTGGTGGGAGCGTGGTGGGAGCTTGACGGGAGCGCGACGGGAGCGTGACGGGAGCGTGACGGGAGCGTGACGGGAGCGTGAAGGGAGCGTGACGGGAGCGTGATGGGAGCGTGGTGGGAGCTTGACGGGAGCGTGGTGGGAGCTTGACGGGAGCGCGACGGAATCGTGACGGGAGCGTGATGGGAGCGTGATGGGAGCGTGACGGGAGCGTGACGGGAGAGTGGTGGGAGCTTGACGGGAGCGCGACGGGAGCGTGACGGGAGCGTGGCGGGAGCGTGGCGGGAGCGTGACGGGAACGTGACGGGAGCGTGACGGGAGCGTGACGGGAGCATGACAGGAGCGTGACACCGCAACACGCCACACCGCAACACGCCACACCGCAACACGCCACACCGCAACACACCACACCGCAACACTTCACCCCGCAACACGCCACACCGCAACACGTCACACCGCAACACGTCACACCGCAACACGTCACACCGCAACACGCCACACCGCAACACGCCACACCGCAACACGCCACACCGCAACACGTCACACCGCAACACGTCACACCGCAACACGTCACACCGCAACACGTCACACCGCAACACGCCACACCGCAAACGTCACACCGCAACACGTCACACCGCAACACGTCACACCGCAACACGCCACACCGCAACACGCCACACCGCAACACGCCACACCGCAACACATCACACCGCAACACATCACACCGCAACACGTCACACCGCAACACGTCACACCGCAACACTCACACCGCACACCCACCGCAACACGCCACCACACCCCGCAACACGCCAGCAACACGCCACACCGCAACACACCACATCGCACACCACACCAACACACACATCGCAACACGTCACACTGCAACACACACACCACACGCCCGTCACACCAACACACCACATCGCAACACTCACACCGCAAACACACACCGCAACACACACCACACCGCAACACGCCACACCACAACACACCACACCGCAAAACGTCACACCACAACACACCACACACCAACACGTCACACCACAACACACTACACCGCAACCGTCACACCACAACACACCACACCGCACTATGCCACACACACCCACACGTCAGACCGCACTGTGCAACACGCCACATCGCACCACGCCAAACCTGCACCACACCGCAACACACCACACCACAACACACCACATCGCAACACGCCACACAGCAACACACCACACCACAACACACCACATCGCAACACGCCACACAGCAACACGCCACATCGCACCACGCCAAACCTGCACCACACCGCAACACACCACACACAACGCACCACACCGCAACACACCACACCACAACACACCACATCGCAACACGCCACACAGCAACACGCCACACTGCAACACCGCATCACGTCACACCACATCACGTCACATTGCACCACACACCGCACCACACCGGACTACACCACGCCGCAACGCACCACGCCGCAACGCCGCACCACACCAAGCCACACCGCTCCATGCCACACCGCACGATGCCACACCACGTAACGCCCCATCCCTCCATCACGGGCTGAGCTCTGCAACTGGTAGCCTACGGAGCTCGTCTAGACAGAGAAGGCTCTTGAGAGTGGGCCGCTGAGTGATACGGCTCAGATAAGGGCCTCAACTGCCTCACCTGTACACAGAACCCACGCAGGTGAGAGAGCCTCGGCTATGTCTCACCAGTACACGCAGTACACGCAGGACACGCAGGACACGAGCGAGACGCGCACAAGGACGAGGGGGACACGTACCGCCGCACACTGCCGGGCGGCGTGTGAATATCGCAGTAGGCCGTCTTGCGGACGCTGAAGGACGTCCCGTTGGCGCCCGTCTCGCGCACGGGCTCCATCTTCATGTAGAGTCCCGCCTGCTGGGCGCACGTCACGTGGAAGGCCGTGTAGCAGTTGGCCTTGTGGCACTGGATGCAGGCGCCCGAGCCGCGCTGCTTGCACACGTAGCAGGTGAGCTTCCAGCGCGCCGGCGGGATGTGCTCGATGCTGTCGATGGGCTCCAGGAAGACGGTGTTGGCGAAGCACACCTCGGGGATCCATAGTGCGCACACCACGTGCGCCCAGCGCCCATCGTCCGTCTGCTTGAAGGCGCCGCCCTTGTTGGGGCACAGCGCGCAGTCCACGGCCCGCGAGGGCGACTGCAGGCAGCGGCGGCACAGCCACTGGCCCTCGGGGATGTAGGGCACCCCGTAGCACTCCTGGTGCACCGCCAGGTTGCACATGTCGCAGAAGAGGATCACGTTGCTGTTCTGGCACTCGCCGTCGTTGCAGATGCAGCAGAGGGCGTCCTCGTCCGGCGGGGGCAGCGGCACCGACGCTGCGCCGGGGGCGGCGGCGGGGACGGCGGGCGGGCGGCGGAA